TCAATCCTCTCCCCCATCTCCCTCACAATCTCCTCCCTCCCTCGTCCATTCACCCACACCACATACCTCAACCCCGGATACCGCGCCTCATACTGCGCATTCAACCGGCCCAGTTCCTCTGCCCAGTCGTCCCCGTCGTCTCCAGACCGTAAACGCGCTTGTTCGGCTCTGCTTAGGGCGCTTAGCCCTTTTGTGTCGTCTTCCTCCGAGTTGTTTTGGTGGTTGTTATCGTTCTTAGGGGTTTTATGCTTTTCCCCCAACCGTGGGTGACTCCCCAACACCCGGAACAACACCTCCCTCTTGTCCTTCTCCCCATCATCCCCCTCCAGGCCCTCACTTCCCATAGCTTCCTCAGCAAAAGTAAGTAACCCCCCCCTGAGAGCATCAATCAACTCCCCATATGACGTATACTCTCCCCTCTGGACAGTCGGCAGTGCGAGGGCGTGTAGGTCGGCGGAGGGCTCGAAGAGGAGGTCGAGTGTGGCTGTTTGGCTGGCGGTGGGCAGGGTTGGGAGGGATGTTATGGGGGCGAGGGAGGGGAGGGATGTTGTTGATGAGCTGGGGGATGACATCTTGGTAGGATAAGTTAGATGTGTTTGAAGTGCATGTGTATGATGAGGCGAGGTATTAGCAGGGCGAACGGCTCTGTTTTTTTTTTTTTTTTTGTTGTTGTGATGGTCGGGAGGCGGTCAGTTGGGGTGATTCTTGGTTGAACGGTCAATGTGCCGTCGGATCGAGTGGTGATGATGACGATGATGGGTGAGGTAGAAAGAAAAGGATTGAAGTCGAGACACAAAACGGGGATGTAATTAGGTGGGTAAAAGATGTGGAGCACGTCTAATCGTACCTCCGTACCTTAAACCAGTCCCAAATAAACCCCTCCAGAACCACAAGTTAACAAATTACCAACGGCAACAAACAAACCCACCACAACCTAACCCAGGCCGGGGCACGCACAACTATTTATCTTCCCCCCCAATCTCGACCCGGACCCCCATCCCGATATCTCCTCGTTCCACTCCCAGCCCTACACTAAACAAATCTCGCCTTGTTTTGTGGGGCCTTCACCGGCCTCTACTCAGGCTATGTGGGGTGCATGCGTCAGGGGTGGTCCCTCAGGCCCTCGCGGCAAAGTGGGGTGAAATCGCAAGATCGGACGAACCCACCGTTCACCGTACCTGCCCTCGGTCCTCTTCCGAGACAGTAACGGTGTTGTTTGTATCAAGAGCCGCAGGTTATCTCAGGTGCTCAGTTAGACACGATAACTAACCTCAGGTACTTCTCTGCTTAGAGTTCTTCACCCATTCTAAGCTGAGGAAACACCAAAGCCAAGCACCCCACCTGAATTCCGGACAAGTCCCGGGAAGGAACGACAGAACGACCCCGCATCGGCCGGTGCCGGGCGGCTCTCAACGCTCGGAACCGCTTCAGAAGACACAACAGAACAAGAGAAGTATCACCAAGCTTGTTGAGGAGTAACTCCAGGTGACAGGGCAGGAGTGATCCAGATGTGACGTATCACGAACACCGATTTCTAATTTTCTTCTCTCCAATGCATGAGCTCCAACGTCTGGCTTCTCCTTTTCCCCTCTTGCCATATCACCTTCGACTTGCAATATTTCCATTCACAAAATCCCAAACCTCCCAAAGTAACCATCCAAACATGGCTACCAATGCTCAAAGCAAAATAATTTCCAACTGTTCGCAAAAAAAAGTATCAGATTTGCCTCCCACATGCCAGTAATGCGCCCAACCCAAGTGCGAATAAGATAAATGCCGCCCAATCGCTGTCAAATGTTTCAAAATCATGTTTTGCCGCCCTTTTGCCCGTCCCATGTCCAAGCCCCCAAAATAAGCCCGCCGCCGTCACATAAAGTATCGTTGCCTCACGGTATGCTTGGACAGCAAAAAAAATAGAAAGCAAATGGCCTCACAATCCAGTACACTCGGATCCATGGTCCGGCAGACCGTCAGCGTCCAAACCGGCGCTCAAGCCGGCTCACCCCACGGAATCCCATCCAAATCATCCATATAGTCTTCAAAACAATCATCTTCGCCGCCCCCATCGCTACCCGCGCTCTTCTCCTTTCCTTCGTCGTCCGATTCACTCCCGCCGCCGCCAAAAATGACACTAAAGTCCGCATACACCGCGCCCTCGCCTTCGTCTCCAGAGTCGTCATCATCATACAGATACCGACTCTCCAGCTCCGACGTGGGGAACGCCATGCTGTCATCGCCCGACCAGTCTTCGTTGTACAGCGGCTCAATATCCTCTAGCGGGATCAGCGGCCGGCTGACTCGCAGTTCTGGAGAGCGCAGCGGGCGGAGTTGAGGCGAGGGGATGCGCACTCTCGTGCATTGTACGTGGCCGTGGTGCCCCGTACCGGAATGAGGGGGGTGGGGACCAGCGCTGGGTGGGCGCTGAGCGGGTGTTGGGGGTAAGCTGGCTGTGTCCTTATTGCCACTTCCGCTCCCGCTTTGGCTGGGGGAGGTAATGGGATAACGGCCACCGATCAAAGCGGTCGGTGAGCCGTGTCGTTGCTGAAAGACGTATGCTTGCGCCGCAGCAACGTCGGGAATCGGGCCGCCGTTGGCTCGCTCTGCGGCAACCGCATGAACCCGACTGCGCAAGCTGTTGAGCACCGCGGCACGCCGTAGCCACGTCGACGGGCTGGGCTGCTGTGATGGCTGCGCCTGCGGTGCGGTAGTCACTGTGTTGTTGAGCCGGCGAGCCGACATGATGGCCGTGAGCTTGACAATCCGTTTGCTGCCTGATGTTACCGCTTCCCGGTTGAGAATGTGGGTGGCCGGCAGGGAATACGCCTGGGACAGCCGCGAGGTGATGAGATGCCGGAGCAGCCGTCGCTTTTTGCAGCTTATCGAAAAGGTTCCGGGGCCGTCGACGTCGGTATCAAGCCGGCGACGTTTGAGACATGGTTTTGGCGGTAGGGCAAGCGCCGAGAGCGGGAAGGTAACGACCGTTTCACCCGACGGGACACGCCGTGTGAAAGCTAGTGATGGGTGAAGCGTCGTGGGGAACAGAAGCGGTGTTGCTACCGGGACCGGAGTGGATGGCCGATCCACGCTCGGTGTTGGCGACTCCCCGGGGGTCCTGGCTTTTGTTACCGATAATGTCACCTCGGAACGGGCGGGACTGTGGTCTCCTCTGCAGCTCCTTGCGATACCCCGCAATCTGCCGCCGAAGCCAGTGATTGAAGCTGTCTGCCGAAGCGCACTCTCTATTTCGGCGTGGTGGTCTTCCTGGAACGTTTCACCGAGCCGCCAGGCCCGGTGCTGCTCAAGGGTTGGGCCAAGGGACTCGAATCGAATCCCCATCTCGTTCATCTCGTGCTTCCTCAACCGTAAAGTTCAGAATCAACTCTCCCGAGAATTGGGGATAGGACCCTCAGTATTGGTTTAACGCATATTCGAACAGCCGACAAGTTTAGTAAGGCAACAGAAGACGGCTGGAGGGGGGCGAGAAGCCAGAAGCGGAGTGGTTCCTTGAGATTCTGGCAGTGAACGCTAGGTCGAGCATGCCGAAAAACGATCCAAGTGGCTGTACACTATTCGACGCAACGTGACGACGAATAGACTGAACAAGCCAAACCAGAAGAGCTGGCCGTCCTCCGGCTCGAGATAAGATAAGCGTTATGTTCAGGTAACAAAGTAGACAATGTTTCTCCAACGTATGTCGAAGAAAATGATAATGGGAAGTGGATGAGGCTGAGTGACCCACGCCTGGATGAATAACGGGCGCGGGGGTTCCAACGGGTCGGGAACGGGGCGTGCGGAGGAGAGCAGAGTGGCATGGGACACAAGCGCGTGGTCGTTAGCCCAACATGTATTTATTGGGGACCGCCTGCGGGCATCCAGCCGGCCGGTGTCAAGTGGAGAAGATGACGATCTTGTTCGATGGGTGGAAACCTGGGGTGATGCTTCCCTTTCGGCCACCAGCAGGCGCTAGCGTGTGGAGTGTCCAGGGTTCCAAGCCAGAGACAGGGTTGCACAGCAGCAGCGCCCAGGAAGGGAAATTCTGGGGATGAAGGGGGTCAGCCACCGAAGCGCCCTCCAGAACCCTCCAGGGGGTCGTGAGAAAGGACTGTTGAGAGAAAAGTAACCAGCTGACTGGTTGAGGGGGTGGTAGGTGGCGCTGGAGCTGGATGCTGCTGGATGTTGGTGGAGGGGCGGGCGGGTCCGGCCAGTTCACACAAACTCTTCTCAGGTGGGTGTTGAGCCGAGTTCCTCAACTCTCAACACCTCACGGGCTCTTCTCCTCCTGCGGTCAAAGACGGATCGGGTTTGGGTAAGCTCAGGGCATGGTGCCCATTGGGGAACGAGCCGAAGTGCGGAGATGCCGGGCCTATGGTTGCACGGCAGGTTTGGGAGCCTCAGTGAGATCACCTGTTCTCAACTTCGCGAGACACGGACGGGGGTTTTTGGTGGAATTGCGGGAACCCGTCATGGAAATTTGTCGATTCATCAGGCGGCGTGCTGGGATAGCTGCGGGAATTGGGGAGAGAGCACGCTACGAGGGGGCTGCACAAAAGTCGCGCGCCACAGCCCATCGAAGGTATGTACGAAACGGTCGGCGAAGTCCAGGAGATGATGTCGCTGCTTGTCTCTGTTTCTCGGTGTCTCTCGTGGTCGCCGGGACCCAGAAACAGCAAAAAATTGGAAAAGGAGTGCCCAATGAACGGAAAGCGGGAACTGGAGAGGAGGCAACAGCTAGCCTGTCCCTTGCCCCTGCCCCAGGAAAGGACACCGAGAGAAGGCAAGCGTTACCAGTCGTGGAAGTTCCTTGGCGTAATCCAAACACCAGTCGCGGCTTCCGTTGCTTCTGCAAGAAGAAAATCTCGTGTGCAAAAGAGCAGGAGCAGGCCATATCCCTGTCTTTTCCCCGGCCGCCCTTGCGTCCCACGGAGCGGCTTGGCCCATGCACAATGCCCGAAAGTGTCACATCGTCCTTTTTTCTGGTCCTCCCATTGTTGCGCGGGACTTGTTGTCCACCTCCTCCTGATATTCCCCAGTGACGACCCGTCAGCAACCACGCGTCGTGTTGAGGCTGTTCATCCCTTTTCCCTCTCACATCGCCTTCCCCCCCCTCCCAAACCTCCTCCCCCCTTCACAATCCCTGTTGGCGCCGAACACCGGCACGTGGAAGGAGGTGGCTATTACCGGCAGAACCGCCGTGTTGGGTTCATGCCTTTGTGGCATTGGGAAAGCCGGCCAAGGGTATGGAAATCTGGTGGGTGTTGAATTTGCGCGGAACCTTCCGCATCGCCCCCAGATCTCGAGCTGTGCGTTTGCGGGGAACCAGAACAGAATTTAGCGGGGACCCACCGACAGCCGCAGGCTCTCGGTGCGGGAACCGGAGCTTGGGCCAGGCCAAGGAGTGAAGATGTCGGCAAGGACCCTTCGTGGCATTGTCGTATACCAATGTTTCGTCTCTGTGCTAGCTTTCTTCCTGGCTCGCGAGAAGTCTAATACTTCCATAGTGTACGAATGACCAACCTGAAATTGACAGAGGCTTATTGCCGACAAATAGTTGACGCCCAACTTGGATAAAATGAGCCGAGTGCGGCAGGGTCAATTGCCTGCCGCGCCCAGAGTGACCGGCCAGTCAGACGGTTTCCGCGCGGAGTGATGACTTGCCTCGAGGCACACGCTTCGCTAGCAATAGCCACTCAAAAGCGACCTCATTTGGTGACTTTTCCGCCGCGTGACCCGATTTCGCAGCCAGCGACCTTGCCAACCAGACGACCCCCCTCTTCAAACCACCTACCTTTCTCGAAGGGTGCTGGGCTCGTAAGAGATGGAATTCCTAGAAATTCCGAGCGCCTATTCACGCCCACGTCTTCTTTCCAGTGGTTCTTTTTGTTGGCTACGGCAGTGTTCCCCCATAACCTTAATTCGGATGAGGAGCCCAAGGTTGGGGGTTCCGGTGAGAATCAACTATTGCTCTTGGCTGTCTCTAGCCATCAATTGGGATGGGAAAGTGAGAGACCTTGGCGTTTCCCCAGCCAGCAAGCCTGAGGAAGCAATCCCGAGTCGAAGAAGAGCTAACCGTTCACATTGGGCTTGAATGTCGAGACGGGCCTGATCACCGTTACGGACCGCAATATGGGAATCCCGTTTCATCACCCAGAAGGGACATGAGAAAAAGCTTGGTTTTCCGAGAGCGAATGAGAAACACCTGTGTACACGTATTCGTACACAACTAGCAAAGGATCGGATGGTGGAAATATCTGCTCGAGAATATCAGTGCCGTGTTGCTTCTTCCTCCTTGCCGAGATGGTATCAGCTTCTGAAGTCGATCTCGGGCATCAACGTGTTTCAGTGCCTGGGAGCTGTTCACACAAACCTTCTTCGTGCGGCTGACGACGACTTGCCAGACTCAAGAAGCTCATCCAACGCTCGGGAAAGCAATCGCCGAGAGATGATCATACTCGTCTGGATTGTATTGACCCTCCTCGAAGCGTCTTGGCAATCTTTATTGTTTCCAACAACACCAAACCCAATAATAGCATGATCAGCCTTGATCTTCTTCCCGTCGAGGCATCGTCCTCGAAATCTCATCAACACGGCTCGGATATTGCGCCGGCTGTCCATAAGAGCCCCGCTTCTCGTGGACCTGAGGTTCGCAGCTTCGACCTTTGGTTCGAACCAACAGTCAAACGAATTCCCACCACTCAGCGTTCTCGAGAATTTCAGCATGGGGGAATGGCCCTGTATGGGATTGGGGAACATGCGTGGGGGTCATCGAAATGTGAAGCTTGGCGGGTCAATGCATCCCCAGATTTTGGAGCGATGACGGTTGGTTCGAGTTCACCCAAAGAAGGCCGGGCCCTGCCAATCTCGGGCACAGGCAAAATCGTGGCTGTTGATCCGTTGCCAAGCCCGACTGAATTGTCTTCTCCGCGGGCAAGAGCCAAGAAGCAACATGACCTCCATCTTGGGAAAGGAAGGTGGGGTTTGGTCCCCGGCTTGGCGGCAATGGGCTTCGACAAGCTCGAGCCTCGAGGAGGTCTGGAAGAAAAAAAGATTTGGCAAAGCGCTCAGCCTCAGAAACTCATGTTTCAGTGTTTCATCATCCAAAACAGAAAAGCAAAAGCGTCGCACGTCCGATATCGCTGTCGTCGCCTGTTCCGTTGTCGTGCAATGCGCCGGCGAAGAGTTCGTGTCTTCGTCATGTTTTCCCGCAAGCCTCGGATCCACCGGCAGCCAGGCAAGCTCGTGACCGTCGCCAGACCCCCAAGGCTCAAGTTTGGGGGAGGGGGGCAATCCTTTTAAAGTCCCTGAACTCAAATGTGGTCTGTCCCGAATAGCCCGCCCGCACGATCCTGGGCGTCACGGTTGCCAGCCCCGAGCGACGCCGAGATTTGAAGCTCTGGCCGCCCGGCGCACCACGGAGATGCCTCGGTAGGCAGCGGATCTCCGGGCAATAGCCGGGATGCCGAAGTGGGGCTCTCTGTCGTCGTCAGTTTCACCAAACTCTAGGGTCACTCATCAACCTCGGTGAGAATGTTGAGAGTGACACGGAGCACAATTTACGTATCCTAGTTAATTCTGACTTCTAAACAACAATTCCACGCGCATTTTCTCAACGTAAGATGACAGCGGTAAACCCGCATTTTGGAAATTTTTAAACTAAACACTAATTACGGAATACCTGAACGGTACACAGGCTGTCGTTATCATGGCTCCCAAGAACCACTCCCCCCTACCCTTACAAGAGGCCCTGAACTTGGTAAAGATACCATCATCAGGGGAAACGCGGCGATTTATGGGGACGAGATCGGCGTATCTTCCCGGCTCTGATTTCGACGAAGAGAAAGGAATCCCAAGCGTGCATTCCGCTGCCTTCGGCGGTCATGTATACGCTCAATCCGTATTAGCCGCCTCACAAGCTTGGAGAGAACTAGAAGACGAACGAGGCGCGACGCCGACTGAGAGACTCGGGTTTCACGTATGTGTCTTCCCTTCGCCGCTTCAGGAGTTAGAGAGAAGGATATAGCCAACTAACTTTTCCCCAGACCATCACGGGCTACTTTACACGCCCAGGCAACCCCTCCCGCCCCTTCATCTATAACGTCACGCCCCTGACCGCCTCCCGCACCTTCAGCACCCTCTCCGTAACCGCCTACCAACCCTCTCAACCCAGCACCAACCCCGAAAAGGACCACTTCCCCCTCGCCGATGCCTCTCTCCCGCTCGCCCCACCATCCTTCACGGCCATCTGCTCCTTCAAACTAGCCGAACCTCACTCCCAGGGCGTCTCAATCCAGGAAGCGCCCCCGCAAGAACGCTTCTCTGAGATTCTGGCGAGCCGTCCGCCGCTGGCGTGGCCGCCCGCGCCCCCGGTAGATATCACGGGTATTGTTGAGCTCGCGGGGTCGGATCAAGAGGGCAAGTTCCCGATTGCCAAGATGCGCAAGGTGGACATGACGGCGTATAACGAGGGCAGGCCAATGCATGAAAGGCGAGAGCTGCTGTTGTACAAGCTGCTACGGCCACTCCCACCCCCAGCCGTCGCCAGCGAGGAAGGAGTCACCATTGAGGGAAAGGAGCCCGGTGGCGATCGGCCGTGGTGGGCCGATACCAGTGCGCATGTTGCTGCGCATGCTTATGTTGCAGACCGGAATGGTTTGCTAGTTGTGGGTAATCACGCTGGATTCGGCCATGCATTCGGCCGTGCTGCGAGCTTGAACTACACGCTTGTTGTGCATGTGAATGCGGACGAGGCGGTGATGCATGGCAGTGTGGAGGAAGGGGATGGTGATGACGGCGGGTGGTGGGTGCAGGAGATGTTTTTTCCGCGCGTGGCGGCTGGTAGGGGGATCGTGGAGAGTAAGATCTGGAGTCCGAGTGGTGTGCATGTTGCAACGGAGTATCAGGATGGGTTGGTGCAAGGGATGGGGCTGGGGAAGTTGTAGACCTCTTCTAGGGTTAGGGGGATACAGGGGGGGAGGAACGTGTACGAGGTAAAGTTCACGGCACCGTCCCGCGGGAAACAAATATGAGGGGTGACAGCTGAGGAATCGAGGCGGATTTGTTTGTGCATATTATAATGTGCTGACACATTTTAGGAATGTTTAGCTGTGAGGACGTTACGGGCTAATAGATTTGGTTTAAGGCAACTATGGGAAGGAACTACCTAGGCGGGCATACAGTGATATTGAGAAACGCAGGGGATTTGTTTGTACATACGGTAGTTAAATAACTTCCCGCAACGGAAGGCGAAACTCATCCCCTGGCAGCCAATATCCTAGGTCCTAAAGCTGAAGTGGTGTGAGGGCAAATTAAAGCCTATTAGAGCCATCATCCGCGGCGCCATCCTCATACCTATACTCTCGTCGCACATGAAGCCACTTGGCTGACGCTCGTCAAGCAAGCGCTCATAGCAGCTCGCACTGCGCTTCTCCATTGGCTCATATAAAAGCGATGCGGGGTGGTCAGGATGCCCAAAATGTTGCAGCCGAACCCCTCATCAATCGAGACCAGCATCGTCTTACGTCGTCAATTGCGATTCTCGGAACAAATGCGATCCTCAGAACAAATTCCGCCCTACCTTACCTACCTAAGGCTATCTAATTAAGCAACATCTCAAACGCTTTCTATTGCAAAAGACAATCGTCCACTGTAGCAGCAAGTGGGACCCTTTTATGCTGTGACACTTACTTTTTCACCTAGAGCGATTTACACTGGTACGATACGGTTTTAGCATGCCTAGCCAAACTGATTAACCAAGAGTCTGACGCCATTTGCCGTAGAAACCGGAGACATGTCAGGCGCCGAGGTCATCGGCATCATCTCTGGCATCATCGCCATTATCGACGCAACCATAAAGATCTCCAAAGCCGCCAACGATGCCTCTGGCCTCCCAGAAGCCTTCCGCGATGTTGCTTTACGACTCCCGCTTGTCAGCAAAACCCTCCAGAAATTCTCAGAGAACAAGATCACCCCCGACGACGAGTGGCACAAGGCGATGGAGCCTGTCTTGCAGCGCTGTAAGGACAGGGCAACCAAACTTCAGAAAATATTTTACGATGTCGTCCCACAAGCTGGCGCTTCGAGAATGAAGCGATACGCACTTGCCACCCTCACCTGGGGCAAAGGAGACACGGTGAAGTCGCTTATGAAGAGGATATTGGAAGATGTCCAACTTTTGACGGGCAACCGCGTAGCGGAACTGCCCACACAGACTGGCGTTGCCGCGGTAATACAAGAGGCGATAGAAAGGGTTTCAGCAATTCCGCCATCGTTACCGAAGGGTAGGTAATTATTCTTCTCCCAGGCCGTTTGTTGAAAACGTCTCTTAACACCGAACAGGCACCCACCCATCCCTTCCTCACAACAACGAACGAGACTCCCTACTCAAGGAGCTTAAGTGGACCGATCCCACTATCGACAAGCAGCGCATTGAAAGAACGAAAGGCTACCTGCATGAAGCTTCGTCTAAGTGGATTCTCTCCCACCCCGATTACCTGAAGTGGCGGGACGGCGAAAGCAAGCTGCTCTGGGTCAAGGGCGGTGCCGGCAAGGGCAAGACGATGCTCTTGGTTACCATCACCGGGAAACTTCGATCCCAGACCAGACTTGACCCGACCAGACTTGACCACCCCACTGGCAACTCGGTTTTATCGTTCTTCTTCTGCCAGAATACCGATAACCGCCTAAACAATGCAGTCGCCGTCCTCAAAGGTCTTATCTACCTCTTGCTGAGCCAAGATGTCAATCTCGTTCCGTACCTTAAGAGTGAGTGCGACCGGATGGGCACAGGCATCTTTGATGTCACCAACAACAACGTCAACGCCTTCGACGCGCTGTCCAATGTGTTCAGGCAGATGATTCAGCACCCGCGGTCGGAACCTATGTACTTGGTTGTTGACGCTCTCGATGAATGCGAAGACGGTCTGCCGGACCTCCTCGGCCTGGTTAGGGAAACCGCCCTCCAAGAAAATCGTCTCAAATGGATTCTAACGAGCCGTAACCGGGTCGACATTGAGGAAAACCTCGCGCTTGAAAGCTCGGAAGCGAAGTTGAGCCTGGAGCTGAACTCGGAAGCCGTGTCTCAGGCGATCGAAAATTACATTGATTATAAAGTCGCCCGGGTCTCGTCCCTTCGATCCAGCCCTGCCCAGCAAGCCGAAATTCGACAAAAGTTACTCGAGAAGGCTGAAGGTACCTTTTTATGGGTCGATCTAGCGTTACGGTCCCTCCAGACTGTCTTGGCTGACGATGCTGTCCGCCGTCTCGACGAGATGCCGCCAGGCCTACCGGTGCTTTACGATCGGATGATGGGGGATATTGCCAAGTCTACGAGCGACTACCGAGACTCGTGTCTTGGTGTGCTTTCAGTCGCAACTTTAGCCTACCGCCCGCTCCACATTCTCGAGCTCCGAACGCTAGCTGGGCTCAGATACGGAACTGCTGATCTGGAGAGGATTGTCGACATGTGTGGTTCCTTTCTCACGCTGGTGGACAACTACGTCTATCCGATTCACCAGTCAGCCAAGGACTACCTGGTCGATGACGCCGCCATCGAGAAGATTTTCCCGTCTGGGAAACACGCTGTTCAACGCAGCATCGTCGACAGATCAGTAGCGGCGATGCAGAGGGCACTCCATCAAGATGTATATCAGCTAGAACATCCAGGAACGCTTATCCGTGACGTCGAGACGCGGCCACCCACGTCTGATCCCTTGCTCGGCGTGGGATACTCTTGTACATACTGGATCGACCACGTGTGTGAAACGGATATGGCCGACTCACAAGGCTCCCAGCACTCCCTGCTATCGAACGCTTCTGGGCAGGATATCGCAAGATCCGAGAACAGTGTCCAAATAGGAAATTTGATTACGCCATTCTTCCAGGACCACTTCCTGCACTGGCTTGAAGCGTTGAGTCTCCTTGGCGCTGTCTCGAATGTAATCCTCTCTCTTCTGAGGCTCAGAACGATTGTCGCCGTAAGTTCTAACTTCCCACTACCTCGAAGGATAGATAACTAAATCATTAGCTTAGGCAAGAATAGACGCTTCTGCGGATCTTGTCGAAGACGCTTATCGGTTCATTTTACAGAACTGGTGGATTATCGAACAGACGCCACTGCAAACATACGTATCAGCATTGCTCTTTACTCCGCTTGACAGTATCATCCGTCGAATGTTCGCCAAAGAAGAGCCTGGTTGGGTGCTAACAAAGCCGAGAGTCGATAAATTCTGGAGTCCATGTCTTCAAACATTTGAGGGCCACAGCGACTGGGTTATGTCAGTAGCACTCTCCTCGGACGGCAGCCGAATTGTATCTGGATCATGCGATGAGACTGTCCGTATCTGGGATACAAAGTCGGGCAAGGAGATCCAGAAGTTCGAGGGCCATAGCGAGTCGGTTTACTCAGTAGCATTCTCCTTGGATGGTAACCGAATTATATCTGGATCAGCAGATAAGACAATCCGTATCTGGGATATAAAGTTAGGCAAGGAGATCCTGAGGCTCGAGGGCCATAACGACAATGTTCTCTCAGTAGCATTCTCCTCGGACAATAGCCGAATTGTATCTGGATCACGCGATGAGACTGTCCGTATCTGGGATATAAAGTCAGGCAAGGAGATCCGGAAGCTCGAGGGCCATAATGGTTGGGTTCGCTCAGTAGGATTCTTAGACGACAGCCGAATTGTATCTGGATCAAGCGACTTAACTATCCGTATCTGGGATATAAAGTCAGGCAAGGA